CGCACAATATTCACGTTTACGAAAAACCCCACGCACTGTGCTTCGCTTACCCTAAGTGTTCAATAAGTGTGTCTGCTCTCTCAGCCGGAACCCCTCTGTCACGCAGGAATCCCCCTGCAGCGGTCCCGACAAATGGCTTGTGACACCTGCTTGCATGCCCCCTGGGCCAGGTCTCTCAATGCCTCCCAGGGAGGCCTGTTACTAGCTCGCTTTCTCTGAGCAAGTCCTGGGCCCCCTTTCTCCTCACCTCCCTCCTCCCCAGTCTGAGGCCTCCTTGTCGCATCTCTTGCAGAAGGGCTTGCCGCTGCCGCTGCCATTCCCGCTGCTGGAGGTGGCCGTGCCCGCAGCCTGCGCCTGCCTCCTCCTCCTCCTCTTGGGCCTCCTCTCAGGGATCCTGGCAGCCAGGAAGCGCCGCCAGTCAGAGGGCACCTACAGCCCGAGCCAGCAGGAGGTGGCCGGGGCCCGGATGGAGATGGACAGCGTCCTCAAGGTGCCTCCTGAGGAGAGACTCATTTAGACCCGCCTGGCTGCTGGCTCCAATACCCATGAGGTCATGAATGATTTCTGCCTGGAGACCCAAGAAGGCCGCTTCCGGGAGCCTGTGGGGAAGTGGCCCATCCCTCCCGGGCCTTGGGGAGCTGCTGCGGGCACAAGATACCTGCTGGGGAACTGTCCCCTTTGCTGGCAGACCCCGTCTCTGCCCCATTGTGGACTGAGGCAAAGGGGAGCACTCAGGGCAGCAGAGGGCCTGGCGAGGCGGTGGACATCTCCATCGAACCTGCTGGGTTTTGCCTCGGCAAGTGTGTGGCTGTGCAGCGCCAGGCACACGTGAGTGTATTGAGTGTGTATGTGTACTAGGTGTGTGTGTGCAAGGTGTGTGTGTACCTGGGGACTGTCGTTCTGCAGATACTGCTGTGAATGTGCTGGGCGGGGCCCACGGCCACGTCCACATCTTTGCTGTGTGTACACGTGACTGTGTAGTAGGTGCCGGCCACCCCACGGAGGGGGAGGCTGGACTGTGGGGACAACTGTCATAGCTCTGGGGCAGGGCAACCCAAGGCTGCACATCCTCCAGGAGGCCAGGCCGGGGCTTGCCCAGGGACCAAAGCCCCAGCTCTGGAATCTTCTCCCACCTCTGGAGGCTGCCTATTGCCCTGGAGGCAGCTGGGAAATCAGGGGCAGGCCGTAGCCAGAGGGCAGGTGGGCTCCTGGCCCCCAGGACAAATGCTGCGTCGGGCAGATCTGTCTCTGCCTTGCGCCAGAGCCAGGCCCACTTGGGAACATAGGTCATGGCTAGGGCAGACCTGAGGAGCAGAGGACAGGCTGTTCGGGGGTGTCTGGGCTCTGTGCAGCCCCCACCTCAGGGCTGGTCATCTGTAGAATGGGGAAAGCAGGCCCTGCCTACCTCACAGGGTTGTTGTGAGGATTGGTGGGGACAATGGGGAAAGAACGCGAAGTCGTTAAATTCAGGTCTACTGTGAAGGGCCGTCTGTGTCTTCCTAAGGCATCAGGAACGGTTGTCTCCCCTGGCCTAAGTTGAGGGAAAGTGCTGGGCAAGGGTTCTCCCTGGGGGCGATGAGGAAGAAGCGACCCTTCCCCCACCCCCTCCAGTCCTCCCCAACACCTCCCGGTTCTCCAGCCCCTCGGACGCCACCGGCCAAGCTGCCTGCTCCTTCACCTGCAGATCAGTCACCTCTCGAAATGGCTGTGGGGAGGACTCGCAGGAAGCCCTCAGTTGTGTGCTGGGAACGCTGGGCCGCCTGTGTGTTGGGGCTGGTCCTGCAGACAGACAGATGCAGGATGAACTTGCTGCTTTGCTTCCAGTCTCTCCCCTGGTGGTCTTATCACACCGGGGGCTCTGAGGACCTGGCCTCCTCAGAGCTACACACAGTCCCTCTGTCCCTGACCTGGAGATGTAGCCTTTCATCCTTCCTGTTTCCCAGGCCAGTGCTTCCTGTACCGATTTGCCAAGGTCAGGAAGCCCCTTTACACTTTCGGATTGGAGGCTGACTTTCCCCAGCTCCTGGAGGCACAGGAGTCATATTTGAGGTGGAGCTTGTGGTGGTGGGGGTCGGGGAGAGAGAGGGGCTGAGACTGGTTGATGGGGGTGGGGGAGAGGGAGGGGGCTGAGACTGGCGGGTGAGCAGAGTCTGCTAGGAAGGGCCCTGAACACCAGGCTGAGGGGCTGGCTTGGTCCTTACCCTGCAGGAGGTGGGACGACCTTTCCCCCAGCTTTCTCTGTGACTCCTGGGAAAGTGGGGGCGGAAACTTCTGCTACCAACAACTTAGCCACAGCCAGTGCGCGGTTAGTTTAAGTCCCGGATTGGGCCGAACTTTGTCCTTGCAGACTCTGTGTTTATGTGGGACCCCAACATATAAAAGCTGGGCCATGCTTTTGGGGGGAGCCCCATGTTCTCCTTCGCTCCTGCTCCTAAGGCACCTGGCATTTTAAAGGGCAGCCCTGGAAGCAGGGGACATGGCCAGATGGTGGCTGTACTTCAACGCCCACTCTGGGTGCTTGGTCCAGAGCTGCCCAACCGACACAGACATCAACAGAGGTGCAGGTTCCGAGGCCCCGCCCCTTGCTAATGTGTGATCTGCGGGGTGAACATCCAGGTGTCCCCTTGAACTGCCTGGAGCCTGGGCGACCTGCAGCCCTGCTCCAATGGATACAGCAGGCCTGTGACCAGCCCACACTCAGGCCTTGCTTGGGTGTGGGCCGGGGGTCAAATCTCTCCCTGACTGCTTGGAGCTGAAGATGGCTGAGGCCTCCCCCCTCGCAAAGCTTTCTCAAGGACACAGTCATAACAGCCTTCTCCCCAAGAAGATTTTATTGAACGCACACACAAAATGCATCCTTGGGTTTGCAGATTCATTCCCGCAAGTGAAGAGAGAACAGCGCTCATGTGAGCAAGGAGCGCCGCCCCGGCCCAGCCAGGGGGGCCATGGGGTGGGCCCCATGTCCCTGCAGCCACCCAGGACCCCCTGACACATAACCTGCCCACCAGCTGGGCTGCCCCATCCCCCACGGGGTTCAGGGGTGTGTCGGAATGGGGAGGACTGGAATCTGTATGGAAACGCCCGAGTGCCCCGGAGGTACCCACATGGCCCAGTGATGACACACCTTCCTAGCCCCTCTCCCCAGGAAGTGAGCTAGAGAACACTCCTGAGCTTTAGAGAGACTTGCCTGAGGGGCCATAACAGACTCAGGAAGAGGCTGTGTGCTGGGTCAGCAGCTCTTTACACCCCATGTCAGAGCGAACCTCGAACCCCCGGGCCCACCCCTCCAGGCCTCACTGACCCATGGGAGGGGGTGGCCTCCCAGCTCCTCAGATACTGCCAAGGCTCCCTGGGGTTCTGGGACCTCCAGGGACCCCCTTGTCCCACCAGACACCGCTGAGACTGTGTCTGACCATTCACAAATAGGAAATGAGAAATCAGGTCAAAATGCTCACAATTTCCTGCATGTCTCAGATGGTTGTTTTCTTAAATGGTTGGGCCATATTTCAACTCGGTTTATTGAAACTAGTCAATTTTAAGATTCATCAAATCAATAAAGAGGAAAAGAAAGATAAAAGAAACAATAACATTTCAATTTAGCTTTGGTGACATTTGCCTCAGGAATTTCTTTGCTGGGGAGATCATGAGAGGCAGGCAGGGACGGGGTGGCTCCTCGCAGGCCTTTGCCTCCAGGCTGCAAGAAGCCAAGCTTGTCCACTCACCCGGGGCCTGGAGAAGGGGCTCAGTGCCCTGCTTCTTCCTGACCCCGGTAGCCCGAGTGGCTGGGACCGCGTCAGCCTGTGGCATGAAGCCTGGCCCTTCCCGTTGGAACCGGGGTGCCTGCTGCTCGGCTCTGCCCCAGCAGTCCCACACGACGTGAGACTGAGGTCCCATCTGAAAAAACACGAAAGACCAGGATCAAGGGAGAGGACTGGACAGCAAGACTCCAGCTTCCGACACCCTCAGATTTACCTGTTGCTATTTTTCCTTCCACAAATCAGAGTTGCTGGTGCTCCAGCCGCCACGCAGGGCTGGCCGGGGCTGGGTTTGGCTCTCACGAGGGAGGGATCTCAAGGACCCCTGAGTCCCCAAATCCCCACCAAACCAGAAACAGTTGAAGTTTGGGGTTGGGGTGGAGACTCACAAGAACAAGAGTGCGTATTGCTAGAAAGGGTGGGACATGCCCCGCCAGGTTGATCCTCCGGCCTGGGAGGAGGTTCCTAACTTCAAACTCTAAATGATGTGTGTCTCGTGCTCACACTGAGGGTACCACTGACACCTGTGCCCATCGAGGTGGGGTGTCCAGGGCCGGGCCACACACAGGAGAACAGGGCTCGGGAGGAGAGGCCTTGAGGAGGCTTCCAGAGGGAAGGCAGGTAGGACTGGTTGGGGACGGTCACTGGCCCAGCTGACCTACCTCTTTAGTGCAAAACCCCACAGAACAGCTGGGGAGGGTGGTGGTGGGTGGGATGGGCGCCCAGGAGCTGAGTCGATTCCCAGACCAGAACTGGTGCCCTTCTCCAGTGGCCGGACCTCAGAGATGGGCAGTGTGGAGGGAAGGAGGGACGGCAAGGGAGGGTCCCGCCCCTTCCCACCAGCAGAGCCTGGGCAGAAACAGAGCAGGGCCGGCCGCCTGGGAGCCGTGGCGTGTGCAGCACGTGCCGGGGAGCCAGGCCTCGGCCGCCCCGGCCCTCAGAGCCTGGCTCACTCGAAGGTCTCCCACTGCTTCCTGAGCTGCTCCACCGAGCCCGGGGCTGGGGCCGGGCTCACATCTTGCTTGGTTTTCTGTAGCAAATCCTCAAAGGGGTCTCTGGCCTCTTGAGTAGCAGAGGGCTGCAGTGCTGGCTCTAGGCCTTGGGGGGCTTTGGGAGGAAGGAGTTGGGGGTCTCCAGGCCTCAGGGACAGCCCCTGTTTGGCCTCAGCAGCCCTGGCACTTGAGCGAACCAGAGGCAACGTTCGGATCCTCGAAGGGGCGACTGTCGTGGGGCCCAGCGGCTGCAGGGGGCTGGTGTGGGCCCCCATGGGCATCTGGCCGAAGAGGTTGGGCATAGAGAGGGCGGACAGGCTGGGCTGAGCTCTATGTGGGGCGCAGAAGCCAGAACCGGACAGCAGGAAGCTGGGGGCAAGAGCTGGCCCCAGGGAGGCAGGAGGGGCCCCAAAAGGCCCGGCTGCTGCAGAGACAAGGGACATGGCGGGCAGTGTCGCTGGCATAGACGGGACAAAGGGGTTGAGTGACGGCTGTGGAAATGGGCTGGGTGTCCCTGCAGGGGTGAAGTTGAACTGGGGGGTGAATGGGGTGGCCACATTTGGGGCTCTAGGGCCCGGCGGGAGGGTACTGCCTGACCAGGCTGTGTTAAGTGGGTCCAGGAGGGCCAGCAGGGTGTCATTGTCAGAGGCTGCAGTCCCCGGAGTCAGGCCAAGAGGCTGGAGCAGTTTGGTGGGGCCTTGAGGGGCAGCGCTGGGGAACCTTTCCTGCTCGGCCTGCGGCCACTCTGATGAGAAGTCGCCGAGGGCAGCACCAGCAGCCGGAAGCTTGGCCGGGCGGGCGGTGGGGGGTGGGGGCACAATGCCCAACTCCGGGGTCTTCCTGCCCTGGGGCCGGGGAATGGTGATGCTGCCCAGCGCGGGGGTGGGCGCCACCTCCTTGTCGCCGGAGTTTAGGATGCTGTCCCGGTTCTGAGGCCTGCGGGGCAAGGCCAGGGAGTTCCCGAGCAGGACTGAGGGCTTCTCGGGAGAGGTGGCCAGGGGCTTGCTGCAGATGGCCATGTCATCTTGGCCCAGGCTCCAGAGCTTGTTGTACGGGTGGGCGAGCTTCAAGGCCACCGGCATCCCTCGGCTCCGCTCACTCCTGCTCAGGTCCAGCCTCTGTTGAAAGGAACAAGAGAGACAATGACCACAGACTGACCTGGGACAGACTGGGAGGCAACACATCCCCATCCCCACTCCCCTCCTGTGTCCCAGGCAGGGGGCTGATGAGTGCCCAGGGACTCAGAGCAGTTGGGGGCTCAGCCCAGGTCACCAGCAGAGTTCGGGTCTGTCTGGACTGGTCCAAGCCCAGGCAGTTCTCACTGTGACAGAAAGAGATGCCAGAGGAAGCCCCTGTCCATCTATGCCAGTGTTGCCCAGTAATTTTAGGAAAACGACTCTGTTTACTGACCATCTGTTGGCCGGGCCCTTTTTACTTTCCACAGTATGTGGGCATTTTCCATCACCTGTGAGCCCGAGAGGCAAGTGAGGCTCAGAGCCTGGGTGGAGGCACGGTGACGGCGGGGGAGACAGGACTGGGCTCAAGTCCCCGCTCTGCCACGCCCAAGGCCCACGATCTGGGCCTCACCCCCTTCTCTTGGCCTGGGGGGTGCACATGAGTCCCTGGGCAGTGGGAGCTTTGCGAGTTCCACAGTGTGACCCAGTACCTGCAGAGTCAGAGCCCCACTTGCAAGTGAAGAAACAGGAAGAGAGAGGGGACATGGGAGACCGGAAGTCACAGTATAAGGTCAGTGGTTACACACAAGTCGTCTAGAGCCGCGGAATGTTGATCCGGTCTCTCCAAGGAGCGTTCCTTGGTGGGGATGGGGGCAATCCCGGTTCCAGCAGGGGTCAAAGCCCTGCCCGGGGGTTGGGCTGGGTCGTGGGGGGAGCGGCCTGGAGCACCAGTCCACCTGTCTCTGATGCCAAAATGGAAGTGGGGGCAGATTCCCATCAGGCGTAGCATCTTCTCCAGGGATCACTGAGAAGTGGTCTGGCCGCTGGCCTGCCTGGCAGGGTTTGCGGTCGGACTGACCCGGTCAGCGTTGGTGGAAGGCCTTGGAAAAGTCCCTCGGTCTCTTTCACTGTCACATGGGGGGACCTGCCTCGTGTGGAAAGCCCCAGCCCCAGCAGGTGTCCACCCCGCGCCCACTCCACACCATACCTGATAGTCAAAGGTCCCTGGCTGTTCCCTCAGGTCTTTGGGTGTCCGAAGGTCCTCCAAGCTCTTGGCCTGGCCCAGTGGCTGCAGCGAGACCTCCACGTCCAGGTTGCCGAAGACGTCTTCCAGGAGGTCGATGCTGGAAGCCCGGTCGGGCGGGGCTGGAGCGGGGCGTGCAGGCTCCCGAGCTCGCTGCTCTGGGCTCTCTGCCTCATCGCCTTCTGCGCTGTCTGACTCCTTGAGTGTCCGATATGGCTGCGGCCTGGGAGGAGGCAGAGCAGGCTGGATTCTCCCACCCAGAACCTCCGAGGGAAGATCGGGCAGCCCCACCCCCGAGATCCTGGGGGACAGGAGAGTGCCCTGGGGTCCCCAAGTGCAGGAGTCTGGCAGTGGCATTCTGACAGACTTGGGGCTGAATTTGGGTTCTGCTGCTCACTGGTGGGACCCTGGGCAAGTCACTTTGCCTCTAACTCCCACTGGGGGGCCCAATGAGTTCCCCGCAAACATCTGGCCCATCAGATAACTGGCTAGTGGGCTCACGAGCCATTCAGACAAGGCACAAGGAATGGGACATGACTAGAAAGGCCGACGGGCGCATTCATTTCTAAACCCGCCGCCTGCACTCCCAGCCCCTGTGGCAGTCAGGTCCTGGGAATGGCTCATGGGAAACTCCCTAGGGCAGTTGCCCAGCACACCCCGGAATCCTAGGGGGAACCGTCTGGGCCTCAGCCTATGCCGACCTTGGTTCCAGCTGTGGTCACACCATCTCTGTTGTGGGACCTTGGACAAGTCACTTAACTTCTCCGAGCCTCAGCTGCTCCTCCCCTTCCAGAGTACACATCCCTTGCCAGTGGAGGTGGGCACTGTGCACTGCGGGCATGCAGAGGCTAAAAGCAGTCTGTGCATCCACACACCAAAACCTCACAGCCCACCCGGGCACGGGTGACAAAGCGTTCCTTCCTCACAAGCCTGAGCCCCAGGGCACCACGGTGCACGTGGGGAATGGTGCTGAATAAAGCCTGACCCCTAGTGGGGTCTGGGCCTGAGCAGCGTCCCTCCTCCTCTAACCACGAGGCTGGGGCTGGCTGGGGCCCCGGGGTCAGGCAGAGATGGCCCCCGGCTCTGGTGGAGCGGGGGAAGGCTGCCACCTGCTGGTCCCAAAGGCTCACTTGCGGGAACCTGGAAGGAGATGGACAGCGGAGGGTAGAGCGCTCAGTACAAGGCCTGGACTCGTGGCAAGGACTCCGCCAACCTGATATTTCGCTGAAGGCAACGCAAGAAGCAGTGAAGTCGACTCACACCCCTCCTTTAGAGATGAGGGGACTGAAGCTCAGAGAGGCTGTGTAACTCACCCTATGTCACACAGCACCTGGCAAGAGGTGGAGATGGAAGCCGAGCAGGAGAGACTTCAGAAGTCCCTCGCTCGCTGACTAAGCCATCTGTACGAGGAATTAAAGCCCCTTTAACCACGTTTCAAGGAGACTGAGAAAAGCCAGTGGGCTTCTTACACCTAATGAAATAGTATTCATTAAAAAGAACCCATTTCGTTTTGAATTAAGATGGGCCCTTCCTTTATAAACAAACACACACAAAACCCTATACTTTTCATAGGTCGTGGTTCAAGGAGCGAGCACTATCCATTACTTCAATACTTAAGGAACCAACAGATTAAAACAGACTGTGACCTGCTGGACTCTGTGGTGAAGGAGTCCTTGGACGTCACCCTGAGGGCCTTGACCTGCAACATGACTTTAAGTTGAATATTTCTTATTTCAACGAATCTATCTTTATGTTAACCAAGAGTTGAAATAATAATGGACACATTAAGAGTGCACCACCATAGATGTTATTGCTTAGGACGAGGCTAATTTTTAAAAGTTTTAAAAGAAAAATTTTAAAGAAGAAGATTTAACATACAGGAAAGGTGGACTTATTAAGCTCGGGCAACACTGACTCCAGCCATCACTAAGTGAGGGGATCGACTTGCCCCCGGCCATGGGTGAGCAGCTGGTAGCAGAAAGAGCCAGAACCCTCCTACCCCGTGGGGACAGTGGCAGGAGCGGAGCTGTGGGTTTATGAGGTACCCCGAGGAAGCTGCCGGCCCAGACCAGGAGGAGGAGCTGGGAACAGGAGATGGCGGGGGAGAGGCCCCTCTCCTGTAAACGCTGCGAGTTCACTCCCGGGGTGTGTGTGTGTGGGGGGCGGGTGTTGTGGGCCCCTTGAGTGTTCAGCAAAGGGCAGATCTCTTCCTTTAAAAGCTCCCATTAAAAACATTACAACCTTGTAACAAATAGACAGACAAACCTTGTCCCTTTGCTCAATCCCAGCTCGGAAAAACTTGTGAGTAGAGTGGCAAAAAATGGCAAAAAAGGGGAACTAGAAAGGCTTAATTTTGGGGGGAGTGATGGCTGGACTGTGGTGAACTTTTTAAATTCCACTTTATAACTTATATGAGGCTGAGGTTATAAATGATAATGATAAAAATTACTTTAAAGTCAGGCAGATCGGTGAAACATTCGGATCTGCCAGCATTAACATACACATTCCACAGCAACAACTTTTTCTTTTTTTAAAACTTAACACCTGACCCTCCGACTCCATGGCTTTCTAAGAGGCGCCGGGACAAAGGACCTGGGTGGGCCTCGCCGGCCGGGCTAATCGTAGCCGTCGATTCCATTAACAATCAAGTTCATTTTCCCCGAAACGTGTTCCTATCTCACACCTTTACGGCCGTGTCACCCTGTCCCCTCCCTCCACTTTCAGAGCCTCCGTGGGGCTGGCAGAACGAACGTCCTGAGAAGAGGCACCCAGAGGTGGCATTCGCCCTGCAAGTTGGCACCGGAAGGCGGCAGCTCCAGACGCCCCGCCCGCCCCTTCCCCCAAGTGGCCCCGGAGAGTCACCAAGCCCGGCTCAGGGAAATGGAAGAAGGAAGGAGTGACCATTCAAAGGGAGCGGAGAAGAAAAGGCTTTCGGTGAAGCCAGAGCTCGGGCCCTCTTCCGGCTGGCATTCATCGTCAGAGGAGTCTTCGGAGAGGAAGACCGCATAGTGTCGCAAGGGCTTTACCAGGCTGGGGCAGAGGAAGACAAGAGAGAAGAGAACAGTTAGGAGGCGCCCTCGGAACGAACGCGCGTGGCGGGGGCGGGAGGAGGCCTCTGGGCTCGCGGCCTGGCCCGGGCTTCCCTCCGCCAGCCGGGGGTGGAAGTGCCCTGCAGAAGGCCGGCGGGCCCCAGGGGCAGGAAGCTGGTCCCAAACAAAAAAAGCCATGGGCTTTGCCACATGCGTCAAGAGCCTTAAACACACGATCTAGTCATCTGTGACCTGGGAATCCCACTTCCATTTCGATAACCCTACAGGTAGCAAAGAATCACGCACATAGATGTTCATCGTGGCTACGTTTATAACATTACAACAGGAAACCACCTAAATTTCCAGCAATGGGAAGCCGGTGGAGTCAATTATAGTACAGTATCCTCCCATTAACTATAACGTCTATAAAGGAAAACGGAAAAATCAGGATGCAGAATTGCAAGTGTATCGCATTCTCTCTCATCTACTCAACGGACAAGCGCATAGAAAAAAGACTGGAAAAGTATATGCTTAAATAAATGCCGAGGCTCGCTCGCGTGGGTATGCGTGATTCCCCGCCTCGCCTCTTTTTATTTTTCTGATTTTTCTATGTTTTCTACAACGCGCATATCCATTTCAGTAATCAGGAAAAAGTAAAAAATCAGGGAAGAAAGAGCCCCATGGAAGAGCACTCGTGCAAGGCCCCTTTCTGATGAGAGGCCGCTCTCCGGCGTCTCCCTCAGATGCCTCTTCAGAGAGTCTTTTTCATCCGTGATGTGGAAATTAAATATTCATTGTTATAAAAAATACATCTCCCTTGTCAGCCACCTGTGAGCTCTACCTCTGTAAACACAAACACACACACAGCCCAGAGAAACTCCACGCGCTCCCATGAATTATCCACTGACCAGGGCCCCCGGGAGGCCTGTGCTTGCAGAGCGGAGCTGGACCAGGCAGACCTCGGTGCAAATCCCAGCCCTGCGGCCGCTGATCAGACACACGGTGGGGGGTGGGTGGTCCAAGCCTCTGCCTTGTATGGCAATCTGGGCACATGCCAAGGGTCCCTGGGGACGATGGTGAAGTTTGGGGACAGGGTGAGTAGGAGATACTGGGGTACCTGGTGGGGGCTGTCTCCTCTTCCCCCAACCCCAGCCAGAGCAGTCTCCTTTCTCTGCTTTATAGGATGCGATTCCTTTCAGCTTTTGTTTCAAGAAAAAGCAACATGTCCAAAAAACGCATGCGGGAACCATGCTTGGAGGGACAGCCGCTGCCCCTGGGAGGCTGGGAGAGTGGATTGTGACCGGCCTCTGCTACGATCTGCCCTCACTGGTGCTAAGCCAGTGGTCACCCAGGAACACGCTGTTCTTTCAAAAGCAGAGCCAGAGCTGGCTCCCGGGGCCGCGGGGCTCCCAGCCCTTTTACACCGGACCTCTGCGTGTCTGCGTGTCTGCGCGTCTGCGGGTCTGCGCGTCCACCCTGGAACTTAGCCAGGCAGAGCTCTGTCCTCATACTTGCCCAGGGTTGCACACAGGAAGGTGGCGGGTCCCAGAGACAGCGTCAGCCCAGGTGGAGCATTTTCCTCTGGAGTCGGGAGGGCAGGAAGACTTCGCTGGCAGAAATGTGCCCTGGCCACCCTCGGGACCAGGCTGCCCGGCTCCTCCACATCCACCAGGACATAAAACAAGGCAGAAGGGCCACTCTCCACCCAGCCGCTGGACAGACCCCTGTTCTGAGTCAAACCCGACCTTGTCACTCCTACTTAACACCTGCAGACCTCCTGCTCAGTTGAGAATCCGCAGCAATTGGTTGTGTGGCGAGTAAATCCTCTGAGTAGAGCGTTAGGAATCACGTTCAGATTGCATCACGACTTTCTAGCTGGGCGGGGGTGAGGGCTGCAGAGCGGCAGGGCCACGTCCGAGCTGCAAGCCGGGCAGACACCGAGCTGCGCACCTGGCCCTGTCCACCTGTGCGGCCTCCTCCCGCTTCCTCCAGCACGCCACCTGCCTGCTGTCTTTGCCTCGTGCACTGACTGCTCTTCGGTCTTGGAAGATTCAGCCCACACGGCAGTCCTAGAAAGTCTCCCTGGAGCTCCCAGCTGGGGCCTTCTCTCGATGGTTAGCTTCCTGGGCTGTGTGTTTTAGCGCTTCATTGATACCATTTAATCTCCTGCAATTCTCTGAGTTGGGCTCCTTAA